CCTGCGACATCAGTATAGCACCTGCGACATCAATATAGCACCTGCGACATCAATATAGCACCTGCGACATCAGTATAGCACCTGCGACATCAATATAGCACCTGCGACATCAGTATAGCACCTGCGACATCAACATAGCACCTGCGACATCAGTATAGCACCTGCGACATCAACATAGCACCTGCGACATCAATATAGCACCTGCGACATCAACATAGCACCTGCGACATCAGTATAGCACCTGCGACATCAACATAGCACCTGCGACATCAATATAGCACTGCGACATCACATAGCACCTGCGACATCAGTATAGCACCTGCGACATCAATATAGCACCTGCGACATCAGTATAGCACCTGCGACATCAATATAGCACCTGCGACATCAGTATAGCACCTGCGACATCAGTATAGCACCTGCGACATCAGTATAGCACCTGCGACATCAGTATAGCACCTGCTTACTCGTTCATCATCAATATATTTTGTAAATATTAAAATATCAGACAGCAACAATGCAATACGTGCAACATCAATAACACATAAACATCAATATAACTTTAACAACAATTATCTAATTGATATAATATAAGTATAATTCAACAATATGTCTCATTAATATTACTATAATTCAACAATTGTGTTGCAGAGGTGCGAGTTGTGCTCAGATTTGTTAAGTTATACCATGAATTAAGGAAAATGGAAATGTTATTAGAAGACGGTGGAAGTTATGTATCTCAAGTGTGTAGGTCCCTCAAGGAAGGTTCCTTGATGTTGGTGAGGGGCTCTTGATTTAGGGAATTGGATCTGTGCTCCAGTTTCCCAGACGGTGGAAGTTATGTATCTCAAGTGTGTAGGTCCCTCAAGGAAGGTTCCTTGATGTTGGTGAGGGGCTCTTGATTTAGGGAATTGGACTGTGCTCCCGTTTCCCAGACGGTGGAAGTTATGTATCTCAAGTGTGTAGGTCCCTCAAGGAAGGTTCCTTGATGTTGGTGAGGGGCTCTTGATTTAGGGAATTGGATCTGTGCTCCAGTTTCCCAGACGGTGGAAGTTATGTATCTCAAGTGTGTAGGTCCCTCAAGGAAGGTTCCTTGATGTTGGTGAGGGGCTCTTGATTTAGGGAATTGGATCTGTGCTCCAGTTTCCCAGACGTGGGGAAGTTATGTATCTCAAGTGTGTAGGTCCTCAAGGAAGGTTCCTTGATGTTGGTGAGGGGCTCTTGATTTAGGGAATTGGATCTGTGCTCCAGTTTCCCAGACGGTGGGAAGTTATGTATCTCAAGTGTGTAGGTCCCTCAAGGAAGGTTCCTTGATGTTGGTGAGGGGCTCTTGATTTAGGGAATTGGATCTGTGCTCCAGTTTCCCAGACGGTGGAAGTTATGTATCTCAAGTGTGTAGGTCCCTCAAGGAAGGTTCCTTGATGTTGGTGAGGGGCTCTTGATTTAGGGAATTGGATCTGTGCTCCAGTTTCCCAGACGGTGGAAGTTATGTCTCAAGTGTGTAGGTCCCTCAAGGAAGGTTCCTTGATGTTGGTGAGGGGCTCTTGATTTAGGGAATTGGATCTGTGCTCCAGTTTCCCAGACGGTGGAAGTTATGTATACAAGTGTGTAGGCCCTCAAGGAAGGTTCCTTGATGTTGGTGAGGGGCTCTTGATTTAGGGAATTGGATCTGTGCTCCAGTTTCCCAGACGGTGGAAGTTATGTATCTCAAGTGTGTAGGTCCCTCAAGGAAGGTTCCTTGATGTTGGTGAGGGGCTCTTGATTTAGGGAATTGGATCTGTGCTCCAGTTTCCCAGACGGTAGAAGTTATGTATCTCAAGTGTGTAGGCCCCTCAAGGAAGATTCCTTGATGTTGGTGAGGGGCTCTTGATTTAGGGAATTGGATCTGTGCTCCAGTTTCCCAAATTAAGCCTGAATGCCTTCCACATCCCCCGCCCCCCAGGCGCTGTATAATCCTCCGGCTTTAGCGTTTCCCCCTTGATTATAATAATAATCAAGTGTGTAGGTCATTCAACGTCTATGGGAATAGAAGGAAATCAGGTTCGATCCAAAAGAAAGAGCAATGTCTATTTCCTTGAATCAAGAGCCCTCGTCAGCATCAAGGCACCTCTCATGAAGTGATTTTTTGTGTTATACGTTTTTTAATGAGGGAAACCGCTAGGCTTACATTATTATAATCATGGGGAAGCGCTAAATCCGTATGATTATACAGCGCATGTGGGGGGGGGAGATGGAAGGTATTCCGGCTGAGTCCAGGGAACTGGAACACAGATCCAATTTCCTAGATCAAGAGCCCTCCACCAGCATCAAGGAACCTCCCTTGAGGGGTCATGACTCACAGTGATGATATAGTACCTGGGGTATGAGAAGCATTCGGGTTCGATCCAAGGAAATGAGAGCACAAGTTTAATTCTTTGGGCCAAGAAGTTTCACTGATATCAAGGTACCTCCTTTGAGAGACTCTAAGGAGATAATGCCTTCAGTTCCTTAAATCAAGAGCCTCTCACTAGAAAATATTCCTGTTTAGTAAGTAAGTAAGTAAGTAAGTAAATTTATTCAGGTATACACAATACAGTTACATAGAATTATCATACATAGCAGCATATGTGTAGAGAACCTGGGATAACCCAAAAAAGTCAGACAGAGTGACTTATTTCCATTGGGGTTTGTGTATTGTTCTTGTCACTTTGTGCCGAAACTTCGTGAGGCGAACTTCTGGGTGACTGAGAAGTAAATACAGGCGAAATGTTGCTGGAAGATGAAAGGAAATTCCCCAGAAGAATAAATCTGACTTTGGAGGGATAGAATTCCTCAATAAATAATTGCATTCGTTTAATCTAAAGAGTCGGATAATTGCACTCTACTTGTGATAATAAACGGCGGCCACAGCAGCCGTAGCATTGTCCAAAATTTATGTCGAGGAACCATCAGAATATCAATAGATTTTACTACCTTTTCTGGAGGTAAATCATAGTTCATAATACAAAAAAAATATGCAAAAAAATATTAACAATTTTCTAAATACATTCCTCTGAGAAATATGACAGAAAAAAATATATTTGTGTAACATACTCAGCCTTTCACTGCCCATGATTTTTTTAACAGGTTGCAGTATGACTATAACAAATCATAAGCAATACATTACTTAATTGTGGAACTTCGGCCTCAAGATCAATTTTATTGATTTTATTTTCATTTTATTATTGATTTTATTGTTATATATATTTTTGTTCTATCATTAAAAGAAGTTTTGAAATTTGACCACAATTCTTATCAACGGGTGATATCATTTCAATAATTATAAAAAGGGGAATCTTCAGGGTATATATAATACTACAGATGGACACTAAAGTCACAGCTGAATATTTGTTAATGTGAAAGTGGAGAAAGGTAGGAGAGTATGTGATAAGGACGTGTTTGGATCTCAGTTCAAAGACTAAGTCTAAGTCCAAGACTAAATTTCAGAAGTTGCTAAGACCAGTGACTAATTCAGCAAACACGAAATAGTTGAGTACATATACACGAACACTTATAATGTTCACAATAATTCCTTGATTTAAAATATATTAATTTATATTTTCATTCCAGTGATGCAAAAGTGATGTTGACAACTTTATGGCCAATTGTCTTTTCGTTGATCGGCGGTGAGAGTCGGGGAATTATGCAGACAACAGGATCAGATGGTACGTGAAGCAAAATATTAGTAAATGATATTAATCAGATACTATATATTGCTAGGTCACAGTGTAGTATTACGGAAGATATGCAGACATCAGGACCAGTTGGAAGATCACACAGGGTACTGGTATATGTAGATTGCTCTTGACCACTTCCACTCTCATTCTCATGCCATTGCAGTGTACACAGATGACTCTAAGTCTTCTGACGGCGTAGGATTCGCAGCAGTGTTTCCGGACAGCGTCGTACGAGGGCATTTACTATCTTCGGCTAGTATCTTTACTGCTGAATTGTATGCCATTCTTGCAGCACTTATCCGTATTGCATCTGTGCCTGTGTCATCATTAGTGGTTGTCTCAGACTCCCTAAGTGCTTTACAGGCTATACAGAAATTTGATACAACTCACCGCTTAGTCCTCCGTATCCAACTTTGGATACGCCGCATCTCTTCCAAGCATAAAGATATTGTTTTTTGTTGGGTCCCTGGTCATGTTGACGTACAGACACTGCTGCGCGGTCAGCAGTATATGACTTACAAGTTTCATATAGAGGTGTTCCATTTACGGACTATTTTGCTGCAATAGCTACCCACCTTCACACCCGTTGGCAACAACGTTGGTCTACTCTGCCCGGTAACAAACTTCAATCTATTAAACCGAGTATAGGTTACTGGCCGTCTTCTTGTCACCAGTGTCGAGGATGGGAGACTACTCTCACCCGTCTTCGCATTGGCCATACTCGTTTATCTCATGGAGAGGCGCCCTGCTCCTCTCTGTGAGAATTGTCAGGTTCCATAATCGGTTAGCCACATTCTATTAGACTGCCCACTTTATCAACGAGCACGCAGAATATACCTCCAACGTCGTCTTCGCTCCGCTGCTCTCTCTTTACCTTCCCTTCTCGCTGATGGACCCACCTTTCATCCGGACTCTCTCATTGACTTTTTGACAACAACTGACTTACTTCACAAACTCTGATGATACCTTCAGCCCTTTCTACCTCAATCTCTTGCTACCCTCTACCCCCGGACTATCCCCTGCCCCGCTGTTTTCTATAACCTACTGATCATCCCTTCCCCCTTCTACTGCCCAATACTCTCGCTTCCTTCCCTACCCTGCAGCGCTGCATAGCCCTTGTGGCTTAGCCCTTCTTTTTGATTATAATAATAATAATAAGGATCATCCTAAATTCATATGTACATTGTATCCTATTTTGTTTGCACTCAAGCGGAAATTAATATGATCTAACTGTTTATGACTCCATACTGCATTATAGTATAAAACTAGCAATTCAAACATCACTTTACGACGTCTGATTGCTATATGACATCGTCAGTGATCCACATGCAGAAGAATGGGATCCCAACGCAAGCAGAGAAAGCTGGACTTAAAACGCAGGTGAAGTCAGGGCTTACATCACATGTCATGAAAGCTGGTCTAGCAGCACACCTGGTGAATGCTGCACTAATAATACAAGTGCTGGAGGACGTACTAGTCGCGGGATCACACGAAAGCTACTCTGTAATTTTCTTCACAGATGGCAGTACCTCACCTTCCACTGTTTTTATGGCAAGTTCCTCAACTTATAACTCCCTGTTATTTTAAAATAATATTCAAAATAATTTTAATCCAAATAATATTTAACTCAGAACTATGCGAGTAATCCATCTGACTATAATTTTCTATATTAGTTTTTAATGTAAAGTAATTATGAACAGCAACACTGAGCTTCCTTCTACAGTTATTTATTCGTTTAACTTCACAAGAACCTCAAACTCTACTGTTTACATTAAAAGTTGCAAATTCCTGCTCTTTTCCAAAGCCATTGGAATGGCTGTTTTAAAACCTATTCTGAGAACTAAATATATATTTTTGGAACATATAATTACTAACGAGCAAAATTTAGTACCTTCTAAAAATTATATTTTTTTCAGATAAATGACCATCTAAAGTTTCCAGGAGTGAGCTTCTTCGAAGTAATGACCATCGGCCTTGATATAAACAAGGAGAAAAATTTTTGCATGCTGCTGGATCAAGTTAAGCTGGTAAGCTGTTTTCCGGTTGTTTCGTGACTTAGAGACTTACAGTGTTGCAATATTCCGGTACTGATAACTTTCAAGTAACTCACGATAATACAAGACTCCCTTCAGGTTTTTAACCATATAAATGGTAGTTACACAAGATAGTCAAAGACGAACAAACCCTGTATGTGTGTGCTCACCTAGTTGTGGTTGTACGGGTCTAGTTACAGCTTCTGGCCCCACCTCTTCACTGGTCACCGCTAGGTCAGTCTTCCTGCTCCATGAGTTTTATCATACCTCTTCCTAAGGCTGTGTATGGATCCTGCCTCCACTACATCACTTCCCAGACTATTCCACTATTCCACTATTCCAGACTATTCCAGGTCTGCATCCTGTCAAGATCCCTCTGTAGTTCTGCCTGGTCCTCGTCCAATTGAATTCTTCTCAACTTCACATCATCTGCAAACAGGGACACTTCTTAGTCTATTTCTTCCGTCATGTCGTTCACAAATACCAGAAACAGCACTGGTAGTAGGACTGACGTCTGTGGAACCCCAATGACAGAGATAATAGGGAAACTTTGTGAAACAACTTTGGAATTCCATAAAAAATGCCACCATTTTGAAGTCTCCAATAACGTCCCAACCATACTTACCATAGCTCAAAGCTTCGAGTAGAATTTGAACACTGTTTTAGTTCTCCTTAAGATGCACTGAATGAAGAAAGGCAAGAGATGGATACTTGTTCCCACTGTGCAGAAGTACAGCTTTTAGGCTTCTAGAGGAGCTGTCAGTGAAGAGTCTCCACTCATCTGGATTGCATGCAATTCCAATTGCATCAAACAGTCCTGATACATCATTACAGCAGCACAACCTGTCTTCATTAGTGAAGAAGCTTGAGAAATGTTGGTGACGTTTTCTTTGGCTTGTCACTTGCACACTTTCGTCCACCAAGTCCCATTCCTTGAGCCTTGAAATCAAAAGCTCGGCATTTGACTTTGTCAAACCAAGATCTCTGACAAGGTCATTGAGGTCTGTTTGGTTTGTGTAGTAAGGATTCCTCCCAACAGCTCCATCTGTGAGATCATAGTCTTGTTCACTGTGCTCTTCATTTTCTGATTTGCTGCTTTCTTCTTCTGACTGTTGACTTCTTTCTGGAGGTGTAGGTACAGGAAGATCAGCACTGTGTGGTACTGGTGCAATAGAAGAGGGAAAGTCTGGATAAGAAATAGCAGGTGCATTTTTCCCAGTTCGGTGTTTGTAAGGATCCACCAGTCAGACGCAGCAGTTCCTATATTCCTATATTCTAGCAACACCAAACTTCATGGCTCTTTTTTCTCCACCTATATCATCCTGTAAAAAGAACAAAAGAATTAGTTTCTGTTACATACATTTCGTTTAAAAAAAATGGTGGTATAAACCTTGGTAATAAATACCGACAAGTTGGTTTAGAAAGACACGTAAGCAAACACTATAACATATTTATTAGAAAACGTTTCGGTCCTGGGACCTTGATCACTTCTAACATACAGAGGTAGAAAGACATTATATATATAGGCGGAGAGTGAGATGTGACGCACGTGACCTGAGGAATGTCATAAGAACATAAGAATGGAGGAACACTGTAGAAGGCCTACTGGCCCATGCGAGGCAGGTCCTTATCAAAACAACCTCTGCCTATGATGAGGACCAGTAGACGATGAAATCATGTGACTCCTGTGTTGTTGGGTTGGTGCTGCTTAAGTATCATGTATGCCAATGTTTTTGAAATTTTGTAGTTTCCAGTGTTGCGTTCTATAGTGTCGGTGACGGTGATTAGTGAGGCTTCTAGGCACCGTCGGCGTCTGAGGTCTGGTTCGGTGAGAACGAGTTGTGCCTCGTTCCAGTTCATCAAATGCCCCGTGGAGTCTCTGTGGAGGACACAGGTGTACCTTACATCGTCTCTGTTAGAGGCATTTCGATGCTAATTCAGGCGGACTGCAAGATCTCTGCCTGTCTCGCCTACATATTTCTTGGGACAGAATCCACAGGGGATAGTGTTAGACGCCTGCTGTAGAAGTTAGAGGTGTGGGGCTGCGTTTAGTAGTGAGGTCTTTGATAGAGGATGTGTTTATGGTGGAAACGTTGATGTTACTCATAGCAAGTGCCCGGCGAGTATTCGTGGCAACATCGCCACATGGGAGTACTATGAACTGTTTAGGGGGCTGTTCCATGGGCGGTTTGTTGAGGATAGCTTGTGCCTTGAGTCTGCAATCTCGGATGAAGAAAGATGGAACTGAAGACGTGTAAAGGCTTGTGTTATGTAAGTGCATTCTTCTTCTAGAAAACAAGGGCTGGAGATGCGAAGAGCTCTCAAGAAGAAGCCAATGAGGATCCTCTCTTAGTGCGGGTATCTTGGTGTGATAAAAGTGTATAAGATCGTCCTTGTTGATAGGTTTTCTATACACTTTGAAGAGAAGTTTGTCACTGTCGGAGATCTGCCACAGTAGAACGTCCAGGAAAGGAAGTTTGCCATCATTTTCGAGTTCAAGTGTAAACTTTATTGATGGTTCAACTGCATTGATCTTGTTGAGAAGGGCCTGGATATTGAGACGTCTTGGATAGAAAAACCAATATATCATCAACGTATCTTAGCCAGGTAACGGTGTTGGGAATGAGGGTGCTGAATTTTCTGTCTCCAAGTTTTCCATGAAGAGGTTGGCAAGCACAGCACTGAGCGGGCTGCCCATTGCCATCCCAAAGCATTGTTTGTAACAGTTGTCCTGATACTTGAAGAAGTTGAAATTAACACACAGTTCCACTAGATTGATGAAATCTAGAAGAGGTAAAGGGAGGTCGTGGTTTTCAGTGAGCCTCTGTCTCAGAATGTGTGATTGCAGCGTCAGTAGGAACGTTGGTAAAGAGGGCTGTGACATCGAAGGGAGCCATGCTTTGTGTTTTGACATTCAGGTGTGAAATTCGGGAGAGAAGGTCACCTGAATGTTTGAGGTGGGCTTGACTGATAGTGCCCAGAAGCGCTGAAAGGTATTTGGCAAGGTGGCCGGCTAGTCTGTGTGGTGCACTCCCTATGCCCGAAGTGATAGGCCGTAGTGGGATGCCAGGTTTGTGTGTCTTAGGAAGGCCATACAGGCGTGCTGGTTTCGGTTGACCTGGTAAAAGTTTAAGTAGTTTTTTGCCTTGTTCTGATTTTCGTAAGATGCTACTAGCCTTTTGAAGGAAAGTCTGGGTACTTTGAAGTAGCACTGATTCCGATACAGGCTGGTATGTGTTGGCATCGTTGATGTCACAGCCCTCTTTACCAACGTTCCTACTGACGCTGCAATCAACATTCTGAGACAGAGGCTCACTGAAAACCACGACCTCCCTTTACCTCTTCTAGATTTCATCAATCTAGTGGAACTGTGTGTTAATTTCAACTTCTTCAAGTATCAGGACAACTGTTACAAATAATGCTTTGGGATGGCAATGGGCAGCCAGCTCAGTGCTGTGCTTGCCAACCTCTTCATGGAAAACTTGGAGACAGAGAAATTCAGCACCCTCATTCCCAACACCGTTACCTGGCTAAGATACGTTGATGATATATTGGTTTTCTATCCAAGACGTCTCAATATCCAGGCCCTTCTCAACAAGATCAATGCAGTTGAACCATCAATAAAGTTTACACTTGAACTCGAAAATGATGGCAAACTTCCTTTCCTCGACGTTCTACTGTGCAGATCTCCCGACAGTGACAAACTTCTCTTCAAAGTGTATAGAAAACCTATCAACAAGGACGATCTTATACATTTTTATTCACACCAAGATACCCGCACTAAGAGAGGAGTCCTCATTGGCTTCTTCTTGAGAGCTCTTCGCATCTCCAGCCCTTGTTTTCTAGAAGAAGAATGCACTTACATAACACAAGCCTTTACACGTCTTCAGTTCCCATCATTCTTCATCCGAGATTGCAGACTCAAGGCACAAGCTATCCTCAACAAACCGCCCATGGAACAGCCCCTAAACAGTTCATAGTACTCCCATGTGGCGATGTTGCCACGAATACTCGCGGGCACTTGCTATGAGTAACATCAACGTTTCCACCATAAACACATCCTCTATCAAAGACCTCACTACTAAACGCAGCCCCACACCTCTAACTTCTACAGCAGGCGTCTACACTATCCCCTGTGGATTCTGTCCCAAGAAATATGTAGGCGAGACAGGCAGAGATCTTGCAGTCCGCCTGAATGAGCATCGAAATGCCTCTAACAGAGACGATGTAAGGTACGCCTGTGTCCTCCACAGAGACTCCACGGGGCATTTGATGAACTGAAACGAGTCACAACTCGTTCTCACCGAACCAGACCTCAGACGCCGACGGTGCCTAGAAGCCTCACTAATCACCGTCACCGACACTATAGAACGCAACACTGGAAACTACAAAATTTCAAAAACATTGGCATACATGATACTTAAGCAGCACCAACCCAACAACACAGGAGTCACATGATTTCATCGTCTACTGGTCCTCATCATAGGCAGAGGTTGTTTTGATAAGGACCTGCCTCGCATGGGCCAGTAGGCCTTCTACAGTGTTCCTCCATTCTTATGTTCTTATGACATTCCTCAGGTCACGTGCGTCACATCTCACTCTCCGCCTATATATATAATGTCTTTCTACCTCTGTATGTTAGAAGTGATCAAGGTCCCAGGACCGAAACGTTTTCTAATAAATATGTTATAGTGTTTGCTTACTAAACCAAAAAAAATGTTCCTATTCAAGATTTTACCCTTCATATAACTAATGACTTTCTTACCTTCCAATGTTTTCTTACAATGTTGACAAACAACATGAGGCGCCCAGGCATGCCAAAATATGCTCTGTAAGCTTCACACATTTTTTTAGAAGAATTGACCACATATCTAGTATCTGGAGAATGATTGCAGCCTCTTGATGCCATTTCACTTCTTCTGATGTGTCTTCTCAGGCAGCCAGAGAGCTGCCCGTTATTATATTTGTCAAGCAAAACCCTAGAACTTAATAGTTTTACATCAGACTTTCTTGAAAGTGTTCCAGAAGTGTCCTGACCACAAAAGCAAAGTTCTGAGATTAAAACTGTTTTTTTAAATTTTGTTTAGTTATAAAGAATTGGGAAATGATTCTTACTTCCCAGGAACACGACAAAAGTGAAATTTTGTTACATAGTGTAATTTAGAAGTTAGGTCACTTACAGTAATGTATGGATTAAGACACGCACAATGATATTATAGGAGTCAGGTCACTTACAATAATACTAAAACTATAACCTCTTATCTTTAACATTTTCTGGATGTACTGACACTAAAATAAATTACATAAACAGCTGCGTCAGGTGTCATCATACACAACTGTCGTCGTCGTTACTGATGACCTGACCTTCCTAGCCGCCTTCCTCAAGTGTTCCCTCAAGGGCCGCGTCCTGGTGTGGTCTACAAGACTCCTGATCATCACTCGCACTCGCCTTGTAGATGTGCAGGATCTGCAAGCAGAATTATCTAAGTTGAATTCTATGATGCTTATTATCAGCGACTACACAACAAACATTAGGTTATATATTTTCTTGTTACAAACACTTAAAATGAAGATTAAATTAATTGATCTTTGATGCTACGCACCATTTGGATGTTTAAGTAAGGGTACTGAGAAACATTATGGATGGTAGGTAGCACTCACAGGTCTCTCACTGGTTTCAGACAAATATAAAATATAATTAAATTAATGTTTTCAGGTTTATTCTCTCTTCTGTCTGTCTGTCTGTCTGTCTGTCTGTCTGTCTGTCTGTCTGTCTCTCTCTCTCTCTCTGTCTCTCTCTCTCTCTCTCTCTCTCTCTCTCTCTCTCTCTCTCTCTCTCTCTCTCTCTCTCTCTCTCTCTCTCTCTCTCTCTCTCTCTCTCTTTCACACACACACACACACACACACACACACACACACACACACTCACACATGCAGCAGGTGTACCTCGACTGTGACAGAACATGAAAGAACAGAAACAACTGAGAGAGAGGGTAAGATGGTAGTGGCAGGAAGGGGAGACAGGGTAGGCATCGACTGCCAGGTTAGTGCAGCCTCGGGAAGAACTCCAAACACAGTCACCCACAGAGCCATGCACAGAATCCCCTCAACTCCTACCATTCCTCATCAAACAAACACAATAACTAGAAACAACCCACATTCCACGAACCTTTCCAGTCTCCCCAGTATTAATGCCACCATCACAGCAGCCTCCAGTAATATCCCGCCCTACCTTCCACATCTTCAGCTTGCACTATCCCCTCCCATGCTCCAAGAATACAGTAGTGGAAAGGAAGTTGAAGGTATGGTACACAAACGCAGATGAAAAAAGCAAATAAGAGTGAGGAGTGGCAAGAAAGAATCTCTGAGACATCCCAGGACATTATAGCATTCACGGAGACAAACCGATCTTCCCAAATGCATCTCGGATCCTGAAGAAAAACAGGGAACCGGGGAGGAGGAGGAGGAGAAGCTGCAAAAACCAATGGGGTTGAGATGGGAGGACTCGACAGATGGGAAGTAGATGACTACATAGTAGAACACTTCAGACCAGGAGTCCAAAAGTGATGTACAACTTGCAACTGAACACCAAGAAACCAAAACAAGAGTATTATGAGAGAAACAGAGCGATAGTGGACATACTAGCCGATGTGACTAGAAGGGCCCACAAGGGCAGGGCAAAGTTACTTGTCATAGGGAATTTCAACCACGAAGAGATTGACTGGGAAGGCCAGGAGTCACAGTGTGGACCATAAATGTTAAATGGTTAGATAAGTACACTTTCCTACATGAAACAAGATATAGCAATTGTTACTTATCCGTAACAGGATGATGTCCAGCAGCCTTCCCTTGGCCATCCCTTTGGGGTGCCATTCCAGGTTCCACTGGGGCTATGCATTAATAAGCGGTTATTTACATAATTTGCCCCAGAGGATAGTATATCTCAGCATTTTAGTATAATATGAAATGCCTAGAAGTACTCACTTCGTTGGGGCTTAAAGGCTTCCCATCACGGCCTTGTATAGGACAGCCCTAATTACCTTGTGTCTGCCCATGGACTGTAGTTCATAACTGGCGTTACAAGAGATTAGACTTACCTTGCTCGTGTAACGTGAAGTTATGGCGTTGACAGTGCCATTAAGACCGATATCGGTGACTTGACTGAAGGCTTGAGTGTCTCGGGGAATGTTGCACTGCTCGCCACTACGTCGGGAATGTTCGTTACCTGGAGGTTACCTGGAGGTTATTCCGGGGATCAACGCCCCCGCGGCCCGGTCCATGACCAGGCCTCCCGATGGATCAGGGCCTGATCAACTAGGCTGTTACTGCTGGCCGCACGCAGTCCGACGTACGAGCCACAGCCCGGCTGATCCGGCACTGACTTTAGGTATCTGTCCAGCTCTCTCTTGAAGGCAGCCAGGGGTTTATTGGCAATTCCCCTAATGCTTGATGGGAGGCTGTTGAACAGTTTTGGGCCCCGGACACTTATGGTGTTTTCTCTTAGTGTACCAATGGCGCCCCTACTTTTTATTGGCGGCATTTTGCATCGCCTGCCCAGTCTTTTACTTTCGTAGGGAGTGATTTCTGTGTGCAGATTTGGGACCATTCCTTCCAAGATTTTCCAAGTGTAGATTATGATATATCTCTCCCTCCTGCGTTCCAACGAGTACAAGTCAAGTGCTTCCAAGCGTTCCCAGTAGTTAAGGTGCTTGACAGAACTTATACGTGCAGTAAAGGATCTCTGTACACTCTCTAGATCTGCGATTTCACCTGCTTTGTATGGAGATGTTAATGTACAGCAGTATTCCAGCCTAGAGAGAACAAGTGATTTGAAAAGGATCATCATGGGCTTGGCATCTCTCGTTTTGAAAGTTCTCATTATCCATCCTATCATTTTCTTTGCACGTGCGATCGTGGCACTGTTGTGATCCTTGAAAGTGAGATCCTCAGACATTACTACTCCCAGGTCCCTTACATTATTTTTCCGCTCTATTGTATGGCCGGAGTCAGTAGTATACTCTGTTCTAGTTATTATCTCCTCCAGTTTTCCATAACGGAGTAGTTGGAATTTGTCCTCATTGAACATCATATTGTTTACTGTTGCCCACTGGAAAACTTTGTTTATATCTTCTTGGAGGTTAACCGCGTCCTCAGCAGATGACAGCCTCATGCAGATCCTAGTATCATCCGCAAAGGATGATACGGTGCTGTGGTGTATATCTCTGTTTATGTCTGATATGAGGATAAGGAATATGATGGGGGCGAGTACTGTGCCTTGTGGAACAGAGCTCTTCACTATGGCAGCCTCCGATTTAACTTTGTTGACCACTACTCTTTCGTTGCAAACACTCACAATACCGTTTGCACTTCACCATTCACTTCCATCATTTGTTCATAGTTTCGTGGTAATATCCACAACAGGGAGAACCTGGAGACGAATAACACTATGTTATTAGTTCTACCGCGAATTTCCTGACTCATATAAGGGAATTAGTCTAACTATCCTAGTTTCCTGATATTGTCAGAATGAACAAGAGTCAAGAACGCACTGGTCACTACTGTCCCTTTGCCTTTTAATGATAAGGAGGCAATGCTCTCGTGACACACACGTCTCTCTTCTGTTCCTTGAACCAATCTGAGGCCCACCCGCCTCGTCGCCCTTCTCATTGTCCCCACAAAGAATATGCTGAACTCAGCTTTATTTCTCTTCCTTTCTATACATTGCAACAGTATTCAACGAAAAAGTAGATTTTTTGCTAACTAGCTATTCACTACAATTCCTAATAGTCTCAACTTGTAGATAAAGTGGGTGCAGGGTTTCCCTTAATTTTCATGCTATGGAGAAAGAGTAATTAATCTCGTTTAACCGTTGTCTAGTTGACCAGGAACTCTTGCAAGGAGAGGAAAGCATGCCCCGTGACGCTACGGTACAAACTTGTGGGGTTAATCAAGTTGTTTGTGAGGAAGTAAGAATCCACTAGTCCCTTAGAGGGCTGAGAGGTAGCTGAGAGGGCTGAGAGATACCCCCTTTACTGGAGAATTTTCTCCACATTTGAGTTAGGATTTGTTCATGACACAGTACACTGTGTACATCAGGCCCATACTGGAGTATCTGGCTACAGTATGGAACCACACCTGATCAAACATGTCAAAAAAGAGAGAAAGTGCAATAGTTGGCAACAAAACTAGTCCCAGAGCTAAGGGTAGGTCCTATGAAGAAATGTTCAGGGCACCTGAACCTAAGATACAAGAAAAGAGGATGGATAGGAGACACATGATAACAGAATTTTTCAGAAATGGGATGCAGTGACAAAAGGACACAACTGGACGTTGAAAAATCAGATGAGTCACAGGGATGTTAAGAAGAATTTTTTCACTCTTCAGGAAGTGGAACAATGTGGAGAGTGAAGCATTAGATACAGGATCCATACATAGCTTGAAGTGTAGACAGCTTATGTTGTCTGCCAGCTGAGTTTATTTCGTGCCATGCTTGTGCTGCCACCTATAGGCCCATACCCAATTCAGAAACACCTCGCCGTCACCTTCAAGGACCACAACAATGCCACTATCACATCTTCGAGTAAACTGATAGGATGGATAATGAGAACATTCAAGATAAGAGATGCTAAGCCAATGATGATCCTTTTTAAATCACTTATTCTCTCTAGGCTGGAATACTGAACATTAACATCCCCATTCAAGGCAGGTGAAATTGCGGAACTAGAGAATGTACAGAGAACCTTTACTGAACGTATAAGTTCCATCAAACACCTTATCTACTGGGAGCGCCTGGAAGCACTTGACTTGTACTCACTGGAGCGCAGGCGAGAAAGATATATCATAATCTACACCTGGAAGATTCTGGAGGGACTGGTCCCTAATATGCACACAGCAATCACTTCATACGAAAGCAAAAGACTTGGCAGGCGATGCAACATACCCCCAGTGAAAAGCAGGGGCGTCACTGGTACACTAAGAGAAGATGCAATAAGTGTCCGGGGCCCAAGACTGTTCAACAGCCTCCCACCAGCAATAAGGGGCATTACCGGTAGACCCCTGGTGGTCTTCAAGAGCTGGACAGATGCCTAAAGACGGTGCCGGATCAGCCGGGCTGTGATTCGTACGTTGGATTGCATGCAGCCAGCAGTAACAGCCTCGTTGATCAGGCCCTGATCCACCAGGAGGCCTGGTCGTGGACCAGGCCATGGGTCCAGATCACTGAGGCAGCTGACTGCACTCAGACAACAGGTCTATTCCTCTCTCCCTCACAATTTGGCCCCTGGGGGCCATGAGCACCGTGTATCCACGATATCCCAAATAAAGTAAGAAGCCTTCGAAACCTTTATCATTGAACCACCGCCTGCAGAAAACGACCCTAATTATCCCATATAAATGGTGGAAGCGGTGGTCGCAGCATTTGTTTTGCCCAAGGAGGGAAGGAAGAGGAATGAAGTCATCTTCACTTCATCACCCCATACAAGAAGCATCCGTCTCTCAACGAGTTATCCTGATATCGTGTCTGCAAGTTTCAGCATCCAGACACAGGTACAAGCAGGATCCAGGCCTAAATTTGCCGCTGTTCTTCGAGAAATATAAATGGCGTCACCTGGAGCTTCACAGCGCCCCACGCTGTTTCTCAGTCACGTGCTCAGTGCCACCTGTATGTTCTGCTGTTGTTTTCAGCCCAGTACAGCTATTTCAGCAAGTCAGAGGTGAGGTTGTGGTGATTTTTGTGCTCAGCGTGGTAGAATGCACTATTCTCCTCGTGTGTTGTGAGATGAGAGTAGCAAGGCGCATGGTCCTGGCTTTACCATAACACCACGTTCGCCCCACTGTACGCCACCACACTACCCTACACCACCATGCTCTCACTCAGTTTGAATTCTTTGTCAGAGTTGTGTATCCGAGTGCCCGAGGTCACTCGAAGCCACGTGGATCACAAAGCCATGTGTGAACGAAACCACGTGGAGCAAGCCACGTCGGGTGTGGACGAAGCCATGTGGAGCTAGCCACGTGGGTTACCCAAGCCACATGCTGCCTGCATCATTCCAGGATGTCACCTCGCAACGTCCACTGATGCCACCTTTTGACGTCACTCACGATGCTGCCTAACTTCACGACCTGACTTCCGGACATTGTCGAAGTCACCTTGCAACGTCTTCTGACGTCGCCTCGTGATGTCACCCCATGACATCCCTCACTGCATCACGTCTGACATCACATGATGTCACATCGAGTGTTCTAGAGCGTTTGAGCCCCTTGTACAGAAAGCTCTTAATATTTTCCACTCGTAGATGCCCTGCTGAATCGTACCCACTACGATTCCCATCTTCACCTCCTAACCATCAGAGTGCAGCTATATGTAGAGAACCAGTCTGAGGATGCTTAGACTAACCTCTGCTGTAACTCCAATTGTCGAGAGAATGACACTCGTCATGCTGCAGTTAGCCCTGTCAGTAGTCTACTGTCTGCCTCGTGCCACAGCTTCATTGAGCAGCCTGCACAAAGATGATGTCACTTTGACTGCTAGCTTGTTCACTCCAGTACGGTGTATGTTGTTACGACTCCCGGATCCCAGATGTTCACTGAGTCGCCTCTGCCACGACTCACTCCACACTCAAAGGCAATTATAACCCCAGCGACAGTATCAGTCGAGAAATGTCCTCCTGAGTCGCTTGCTAAAAGAAGTCCTGCCTAGTTGCTGAGTATTTATTTATTTAATTATTTATTTTTTGTTTGGACATGATACATAGTTGTTCAAGGAAATATAATGGTTGGGTGTATGTGCCAAAAGCCCCTTGTATGCAGAGCATTATGGGCAGGCTTAAAATTAACTTAAGATTAACTAAGCAATGATATATTCAGTAGTAAAAATTGCAGTTGTGCCACAGGATGAGCAAGCCCTGCAGCGACTACTACGATGACTGCTTCACCGTTCCAGAGAACACCATACCCTGTTACATCACAGCTCAGCCCCAGCGACGTCTCCTGTGTTGCAGTATCTGTCCAGACACAGGTAGGCGTGCAGTAATGTCCCTCGACGCTCACTGCCTTGGACCACGATGTTCAGCACCCCTCCCCTAGGGTGTTCTGCACCCTGTTACTGCGAGAGAGAGACCGAGTTTTTTTTTCTGCCAATCATGGTCGACGACGACCATGGTGGTGGTGGCCGAGTGAATGTAGACAGCTTATGCTGTCTGTTAGCCCCTCGGGGCCATGGGCAATAACACACTGCCTATGTACCCACGATATTGCAAAATAAAGTAAGAAGCCTCCGAAGCATTATCATAACTCCCGCTTCCAAGAGCAACCCATTTAACTCATTTAGAAGCACACAAGTCTGGACTCTCTCTGTCTCTCTCTCTCTCTCTCTCTCTCTCTCTCTCTTCTCTCTCTCTCTCTCTCTCTCCTCTCTCTCTCTCTCTCTCTCTCTCTCTCTCTCTCTCTCTCTCTCTCTCTCTCTCTTTCACACATACACATCTTTACAAAGTAATCAACTATATACTAAAACTGTATTCACTTTGCAATGTATTTTAAAGAACTACTGTTACAGATGCAACATTTACATCCATCTGCCGTACAGTCCTCGAGGATCCCAGGTGTTGCAGGTGGCTCGGGGATCCCAGGTGTTGCAGGTGGCTCGGGGATCCCAGGTGTTGCAGGTGGCTCGGGGATCCCAGGTGTCGCAGGTGGCTCGGGGATCCCAGGTGTTACAGGTGGCTCACTGGGCCCCAAGTCAGGGTTTAATTTTCACCTCCAACCTTCCGCTCTTCCCTGACAAGTACTCTAAGTAAGATGAAAATAAATGGTATAAAATACCGACACAATGGAAACATAAACATATATGCAGTTCAATGTGATCCTCTGTTTGTGACTTGAAAAAGCCCACTGTGTGGGCGAAACGTTGTCAATAAAGGAACACATTAAACTGCATATGTGTTTATGTTTCTACTCTAAGTAAGACTGAGATGAAACGTAAAGAAGCACAACATAGTCGTTTTTGTTAGGTAAGACACATATGCAACAGTTAGGTATCTTTATTATGAAACGTTTCGCCTACACAGTAGGCTTCTTCAGTCAAGTACAGAAAAGTTGATAGAAGCAGAAGATACTTGAAGACGATGTAATCAGTCCATCACCCTTAAAGTTTTGAGGTGTCTTACCTAACAACCTGTCGGTATTTTATACCATTTTAATGTTCATAGTCGTTTTTACTTGTTTATTGTTCTACTTATTTCATTTTTTGAGAGTATAGGTATGTGAATAATAGAATTAAAAGTAACCTTCATGAATATTTTGGTCCACGAAAATATTTGAAATCGCAAAAGTGGATTTAAGTAGAAAAAGAGAAATTACAGGTTTTATTTCGTCATATTATTTGAGGAAAAATATTTTTAGGGGAGAAAATGACTATATTAATGAGTAATGACATAATATAAAAGGAATTTCTCTTCTGCATGAGTGACGAAAATCTGAAGATCTGAAAGAAATATTCTAATATATTCTCTTGCAAACAATATGAGGAATAATGTTGACTCTTATACGAATCTTTTGCTTAGTAATATTTAAGAATTGTTCAGTGTTCCTGAACAATTGTTCTCTCAGCCACTAACTTGCAAACTTAAAAAAAAAAATCAAGTTCTCAATATATCTTTTTTTTTTAATTTCTTTTCTATTTATTATTATCTATAATTCTCTAATAAAAAAAAATTATTTTTCTTAAAGAAAATCCAATTTCGTAAAAAAATCTGTATTATTATTATAATCATGTGGGAGCGCTAAACCCTTAGGATTATACAACGCATGTGGGGGGGGAGGGATGGAAGGTATTCAGGCTCAATTCAGGGAACTGGAGCACAGATCCAATTCCCTAGATCAAGAGCCCCTCACCAGCGTCAAGGAACCTCCCTTGAGGGGAAAAAAATCTGTAAAATTTGTAAAGTTGGCTCTTATAAAGGCCACAAAATTTTTCAGATTGAAATCCTCCATCGCTGGAGAATTTGACTCATCGCACAAGTGACATTCTTTAGTTTCTACACTGAAAACAGTTTAGTTAATGAAACTGGCTATATAAAATTTACGAAGCTTAAGGTAAAGACAAATTTTCTTCGATCAAAACCCAACCCACTGAGTGTGCAGTCTATCAGAAAACCCAACCCACTGAGTGCGAAGTCTATCAGAAAACCCAACCCACTGAGTGTGCAGTCTATCAGAAAACCCAACCCACTGAGTGTGCAGTCTATCAGAAAACCCAACCCACTGAGTGTGCAGTCTATCAGAAAACCCAACCCACTGAGTGTGCAGTCTGTCAGAAAACCCAACCCACTGAGTGTGCAGTCTATCAGAAAACCCAACACCACTGAGTGTGCAGTCTGTCAGAAAACCCAACCCACTGAGTGTGCAGTCTATCAGAAAACCCAACCCACTGAGTGTGCAGTCTATCAGAAAACCCAACCCACTGAGTGCGAAGTCTATCAGAAAACCCAACCCACTGAGTGTGCAGTCTATCAGAAAACCCAACCCACTGAGTGTGCAGTCTATCAGAAAACCCAACCCACTGAGTGTGCAGTCTATCAGAAAACCCAACCCACTGAGTGTGCAGTCTGTCAGAAAACCCAACCCACTGAGTGTGCAGTCTATCAGAAAACCCAACACCACTGAGTGTGCAGTCTGTCAGAAAACCCAACCCACTGAGTGTGCAGTCTATCAGAAAACCCAACCCACTGAGTGTGCAGTCTTCAGAAAACCCAACCACTGAGTGTGCAGTCTATCAGAAAACCAACCACTGAGTGTGACAGTCTATCAGAAAACCCAACCCACTGAGTGGCAGTCTTCAGAAAACCCAACCCACTGAGTTGCAAATCTATCAGAAAACCCAACCCACTGAGTGTGCAGTCTATCAGAAAACCCAACCCACTGAGTGTGCAGTCTATCAGAAAACCCAACCCACTGAGTGTGCAGTCTATCAGAAAACCCAACCCACTGAGTGTGAAGTCTAATCAGAAAACCCAACCCACTGAGTGTGAAGTCTATCAGAAAACCCAACCCACTGAGTGTGCAGTCTATCAGAAAACCCAACCCACTGAGTGTGAAGTCTATCAGAAACCCAACCCACTGAGTGTGAAGTCTATCAGAAAACCCAACCCACTAAGTGTGAAGTCTATCAGAAAACACCAACCCACCCAAGTGTGAAGTCCTATCAGAAAACCCAACCCACTGAGTGCGAAGTCTATCAGAAAACCCAACCCACTGAGTGCGAAGTCTATCAGAAAACCCAACCCACTGAGTGTGCAGTCTATCAGAAAACCCAACCCACTGAGTGTGAAGTCTATCAGAAAACCCAACACCACTAAGTGTGAAGTCTATCAGAAAACCCAACCCACTGAGTGTGCAGTCTATCAGAAAACCCAACACCACTGAGTGTGAAGTCTATCAGAAAACCCAACCCACTGAGTGTGCAGTCTGTCAGAAAACCCAACACCACTGAGTGTGAAGTCTATCAGAAAACCCAACCCACTGAGTGTGAAGTCTATCAGAAAACCCAACCCACTGAGTGTGAAGTCTATCAGAAAACCCAACCCACTGAGTGTGAAGTCTATCAGAAAACCCAACCCACTGAGTGCGAAGTCTATCAGAAAACCCAACCCACTGAGTGCGAAGTCTATCAGAAAACCCAACCCACTGAGGGGTGCAGTCTATCAGAAAACCCAACCCACTGAGTGTGAAGTCTATCAGAAACCAACACCACTAAGTGTGAAGTCTATCAGAAAACCCAACCCACTGAGTGTGCAGTCTATCAGAAAACCCAACACCACTGAGTGTGAAGTCTATCAGAAAACCCAACCCACTGAGTGTGCAGTCTGTCAGAAAACCCAACACCACTGAGTGTGAAGTCTATCAGAAAACCCAACCCACTGAGTGTGAAGTCTATCAGAAAACCCAACCCACTGAGTGTGAAGTCTATCAGAAAACCCAACCCACTGAGTTGTGAAGTCTATCAGAAAACCCAACCCACTGAGTGCGAAGTCTATCAGAAAACCCAACCCACTGAGTGCGAAGTCTATCAGAAAACCCAACCCACTGAGTGTGCAGTCTATCAGAAAACCCAACCCACTGAGTGTGAAGTCTATCAGAAAACCCAACACCACTAAGTGTGAAGTCTATCAGAAAACCCAACCCACTGAGTGTGCAGTCTATCAGAAAACCCAACACCACTGAGTGTGAAGTCTATCAGAAAACCCAACCCACTGAGTGTGCAGTCTGTCAGAAAACCCAACACCACTGAGTGTGAAGTCTATCAGAAAACCCAACCCACTGAGTGTGAAGTCTATCAGAAAACCCAACCCACTGAGTGTGAAGTCATTCAGAAAACCCAACCCACTGAGTGTGAAGTCTATCAGAAAACCCAACACCACTAGTGTGAAGTCTATCAGAAAACACAACACCACTGGGTGTGAAGTCTATCAGAAAAGCCAGCACCAATAAGTGTGAAGCCTATCAGAAAAGCCAGCACCAATAAGTGTGAAGCCTATCAGAAAACCCAACACCAATAGGTGTGAAGCCTATCAGAAAACCCAACATCAATAAGTGTGAAGCCTATCAGAAAACCCAACACCACTAAGTATGAAGCCTATCAGGAAAAGGATTCTCCAGTAATTTCTCCAAATTCAATCATTTTAATTTTCTAATAATTTCAATGAAATTTGAGTGTGTGTTTCCTATATGGAACATTTTTTGCAAGAAATATTGTAAGAAGATACTGTACTCAAAAATTTCTTTCTCCCAAATATTTGTGAATGTAGTGTTCACGTTGTTTAATATACAATTTCTCTAAACTTCATGTATCCAAAATATTTTGTGCGCCAGTTATAATTTTGAAATCATTTAACTCAGTCTATAATTGAGATTCATATTGTCTGCCTTTTTAAAATTCTTTACAGAATTGGTCTTTAGAAATGGGTCGTTATCTCAGAAAATACTGAAATCTTTCTTGAAAAGTAAAAACTTGGGCAAAATACTGTTTAATACATTATTATAAACCTGTGGGAGCTCTAAACCCTTAGGATTTTACAGCGCATGTGTGGGGTGGATGGAAGGTATACAGGCTCAATTCAGGAAACCGGAGCACAGATCCAATTCCCTAGATCAAGAGCCCCTCACCAACGTCAAGGAACCTCCCTTGAGGGGACTGTTTATTACAGTTCGTCAGGATATTCTGTACAATAATTAGGTCAGTTTTGTCCCAGGATGCGACCCACACCAGTCCACTAACACCCAGGTATTCATTTTACTGATGGGTGAACAGGGACAGCAGGTACCTTATGGAAACACATACTAATATTTTCAGCCGTACTGGGGGATCGATTACCGGAACTCAGTGTGTGAGATGAGTGCGCCAGCGTAAACTGTGGGGTCCAGTTTTCTGAACACTTGAGGGAATCTATTATTACAAAAATACAATTAGGAATGCAGCCATTTATTTACATGCATCAGCACTGTGAGGGCACAGATCAGTGTTTCTACGTCAAACCAACACAATGGGGCTGGATACTGTGCTCACAAGCCTCTCTAATGTAATTTTTTTTATTTGAATTATTTAATCATTTTTGCACATGTTGAGGTGCGCGGAAATTATTTTATTTTATTTATGTTTTTATTTAATTTATGGAGTAATTAACATGAGAACATAGGGACATAAAAACAAGGGAGTAGTGCACAAAGTCTATTGGCCCAGGTTAGGCAGGTACATTAGTGCAGCTCTCACACAACCACAGTCAGTTAGTAGTTTGAGAACAGTAATACGAAAATAACTTCTACTGAACTTCATTGACTTGAGTCAGTCCATGTATCATCATTCTATCATGCAGGAAGAGCCACATGTCTATGGTGCTTCTCACAAAATAAGCAAACTCTTGGATGTCACTCCCTCCGGGCTCCGGCTGGGGTTTAAGTATCTCTGACAGGTTAAATCACCACCACCAGATGTAGACCAAACGAAATATAAACTTTGCCAGATAGACTCTTGTCACAGCCTGCGTCATTATGTACTGGAGTGTGATCAAATTAATGAATTCAGAGACAACTCACTCACAAGATATGTGAAAGTATTTTTTCCACTGTGGTATATTACAAACCATTCTGGAAAAATACCTTGACTTGATCAACTGCAAATAACGCATTACCACTTATTTTTTTTTTTAAGAGTATGTGACCTAATTCATGTCTACATACGTTTGTGACCAGATATAAACATATAAAAAGTTTATTATCATTGTAATTTATTCAGCTTTAAAAATTCTGCTGGCCGGTCCCTGGACCCATTATATACCTCTGTAATCTTCTGTCTACCGTCCACAGGATGGGTATGGGGTGTATAATGAAGTTATTTAAGTAAAAACTACAAAGTTCTATCTTCAGTGATGCTACTTGGAAATCTTTTTCCCCTTCATCTATAATTCTATTCCCAAATTAGGACTTCCCTAAACTCTCTCTAAATCTCAATCTGTCCAACATAAATTCATTGCTGCAAGTCATGTCCTGGTTAGGCATTGTTATAAAAAACGCCATTCTAAAAGCTTAGAGATCTCCAGTGAATACTAGAAAGGACTGCCCTTCTAGCATCCAGCCTGTTACTGGGTTTTCGTAACAAGTAGTCAGTATCCTGGTCCAATTATCCATTAGAATTCAGTATGATTCAATAGTGCTTCAGGATTACAACTGGTAGGCTACTAACTAGAGAAATTAAAATTTAATAAATTTATTAAGTATCGTCTAGAGGTATATTATCAAATTAAATTAAATTAATCAATTCAAACAAATTAATAATAATTACTTCTCTCGTATACAATAGTATTGTAAAGGCATTTAAAAAATAAATATCAAATGAGAAACTGTAATTAATTTAATCTTAATAATCCTGTGTCTTTCAGATTTTTCCGCAGACCGCATTTGTTGGTGGCGGTGGAAGAGACAGCCTTCAGTAAGTTAATCAAAGGCAAAGAACCAGGGGCCTCTAAGTTCCTAGGATCCCTGCCACAGATGATTGATCAACTTTCTAAAGTAATGAATTTCACGTAAGTAAGCTTATGTAATAATTATTTTCACACACAAAAACACGCACACACACACACACACACACACACACACACACACACACACACACACACACACACACACACACACACACACACACACACACACACACACACACACACAACGGGAAGACCAGAACGAGCCCCTGGTTTTCCCGACGGTGTAAGGAGGCAAAAACAAAGTGAAATAGAGAATGGAAAAAGTACAGAAGGCAGAGAACACTCGAAAATAGGGAGATCAGTCGCAGAGCCAGGAATGAGTATGCAGAGGTAAGGAGGGAGGCCCAGCGACAGTATGAAAATGACATAGCATCGAGAATCAAGACTGACCCGAAACTGTTGTATAGCCACATCAGGAGGAAGACAACACTCAAAGACCAGGTGATCAGATTAAGGACAGTAGGTGGAGAACTCACAAGAAATGATCAGGAGGTATGTGAGGAGCTGAACAGGAGATTTTAGGAAGTTTTTACAGTAGAGACAGGAAGGGCTGTGGGAAGACAGCACAGAAGGGAACATCAAGAGGGAATATACCAGCAAGTGTTGGATGACATACGAACAACTGAGGAGGAGGTGAAGAAGCTCTTAAGTGACCTTGACACCTCAAAGGCGATGGGACCGGACAACATCTCCCCATGGGTCCTTAGAGAAGGAGCAGTGATGCTGTGCATGCCTCTAACCACAATCTTCAACACATCCCTTGAAACTGAGCAACTACCTGAGAAATGGAAGACAGCAATGTAGTCCCCATATTTAAGAAAGGAAACAGAAACGAGGCACTAAACTACAGACCTGTGTCTCTGACATGTATTGTGTGCAAAGTCATGGAGAAGATTATCAGGAGGAGAGTGGTCGAACACCTGGAAAGGAACAAGATTATAAATGAAAACCAGCATGGGTTCATGGAAGGCAAATCTTGTATCACAAACCTCCTGGAGTTTTATGACAAGGTAACAGAAGTAAGACACGAGAGAGAGGGGTGGGTAGATTGCGTTTTCCTAGACTGCAGGAAGGCCTTTGACACAGTTCCCCACAAGAAATTAGTGCAGAAGCTGGAGGATCAGGCGCATGTAAAAGGGAGGGCACTGCAATGGATCAGGGAATACCTGACAGGGAGGCAGCAACGAGTCATGGTACGTGAAGAGATATCACAGTGGGCGCTTGTTACGAGCGGGGTCCCACAGGGGTCAGTTCTAGGACCAGTGCTATTTTTGATATATGTGAACGACATGATGGAAGGAATAGACTCTGAAGTGTCCCTGTTCGCAGATGACGTGAAGTTGATGAGAAGAATTAAATCGGACGAGGATGAGGCAGGACTGCAAAGAGACCTGGACAGGCTGGATACGTGGTCCAGTAACTGGCTTCTCGAATTCAATCCAGCCAAATGCAAAGTCATGAAGATTGGGAAGGGGCAAAGAAGACCGCAGACAGAGTATAGCCTAGGTGGACAAAGACTACAGACCTCACTCAGGGAGAAAGACCTTGAGGTGACCATGACACCGAGCACATCACCGGAGGCACACATCAACCAAATAACGGCTGCAGCATACGGGCGCCTGGCAAACCTGAGAATAGCGTTCCGATACCTTAATAAGGAATTGTTCAAGACACTGTACACTGTGTATGTTAGGCCCATACTGGAGTATGCAGCACCAGTCTGGAACCCACACCTGGTCAAGCACGTCAAGAAGTTAGAGAAAGTACAAAGGTTTGCAACAAGGCTAGTCCCAGAGCTCAAGGGAATGTCGTACGAGGAAAGGTTAAGGGAAATCGGACTGACGACACTGGAGGACAGAAGGGTCAGGGGAGACATGATAACGACATACAAGATACTGCGGGGAATAGACAAGGTGGACAGAGATAGGATGTTCCAGAGAGGGGACACAGGGACAAGGGGTCACAACTGGAAGCTGAAGACTCAGACGAGTCACAGGGACGTTAGGAAGTATTTCTTCAGTCATAGAGTTGTCACCAAGTGGAATAGCCTAGCAAGTGAAGTAGTGGAGGCAGGAACCATATATGGTTTTAAGAAGAGGTATGACAAAGCACAGGAAGCAGAGAGAGAGAGGACCCAGTAGCGATCAGTGAAGAGTCGGGGCCAGGAGCTGAGTCTCGACCCCTGCAACCACAATTAGGTGAGTACAATTAGGTGAGTACACACACACACACACACACACAACATGATTGAAGGGTTAGACTCAGAAGTGTCCCTGTTTGCAGATGATGTGAAGTTAATGAGGAGAATTAAATCAGAGGAGGACCAGGCAGGACTTCAAAGAGACCTGGACAGACTGGACACCTGGTCCAGCAAATGGCTTCTCGAATTTAATCCCGCCAAATGCTAGGTGGCCAAAGACTGCAAACCTCACTCAAGGAGAAAGATCTTGGGGTGAGTATAACACCGAGCATATCTCCGGAAGCATATATCAACAAGATAACTGCTGCAGCATAAGGGCGCCTGGCAAACCTGAGAACAGCATTCCGATACCTTAATAAGGAATCGTTCAAGACACTGTACACCGTGTATGTCAGGCCCATACTGGAGTATGCAGCACCTGTTTGGAACCCGCACTTGATAAAGCACGTCAAGAAACTAGAGAAAGTACAAAGGTTTGCAACAAGGTTAGTTCCAGAGCTAAGGAGAATGTCCTATGAAGAAAGGTTAAGGGAAATCGGCCTGACGACATTGGAGGACAGGAGGGTCACGGGAGACATGATAACGACATATAAAATACTGCTCCGAATAGACAAGGTGGACAAAGACAGGATGTTCCAGGGAGGGGACACAGAAACAAGAGGTCACAATTGGAAGTTGAAGACACAAATGAGTCAGAGAGATATTAGGAAGTATTTTTTCAGTCATAGAGTTGTCAGGCAGTGGAATTACCTAGAAAATGACGTAGTGGAGGCAGGAACCATACACAGTTTTAAGACGAGGTTTGATAAAGCTCATGGAGCAGGGAGAGAGAGGGCCAAGTAGCAACCGGTGAAGAGGCGGGGCCAGGAGCTAAGACTCGACCCCTGCAACCACAAATAGATCAGTACAAATAGGTGAGTATACACACACACACACACACACACACACACACACACACACACACACACACACACACACGGTGAAGAGGCGGGGCCAGGAGCTAGGACTCGACCCCTGCAACCACAAATAGGTGAGTACAAATAGGTGAGTACACACACACACACAGAGGAAGTATAGAAGGCAAAGGACCTAGGAGAATAAGGAGAGCAGTCGTAGAGCCAGAAATGAATATGCACAGGTAAGATGGGAGGCCCAACGACAATATGGAAATGACATAGCAGCGAAAGCCAAATCTGACCCGAAGCTGTTACACAGCCACTTCAGGAGGAAAACAACAGTCAAGGACCAGGCTAAGGAAGGAAGGAGGAGAGATCACAAGAAACGACTGAGAAGTGTGTGAGGAATTCAACACGAGATTCAAAGAAGTGTTCACAGAGGAGACAGAAGGGGCTCCAGAAAGACGGAGAGGTGGGGCACACCACCAAGTGTTGGACACAATACATACAACCGAGGAAGAGATGAAGAGGCTGCTGAGCGAGCTAGACACCTCAAAGCCGATGGGGCCTGTTAACATCTCTCCATTGGTCCTGAGAGAGGGAGCAGAAGCACTATGTGTACCCCTTACAAAAATATTCAATACATCTATCCAAACAGGGAGATTGCCTGATGCATGGAAGACAGCAAATGTAGTCCCAATTTTTAAAAAAGGAGACAGACATGAAGCACTAAACTATAGACTAGTGTCACTGACTTGTATAGTATGCAAAGATATGGAAAAGATTATCAGAAGAGTGGTGGGACACCTACAAAGAAATGAGCTTATCAACAACAGCCAACAAGGTTTCAGGGACGGAAAATCCTGTGTCACAAACCTACTGGAGTTCTATGACAAGGTGACAGCAGTATGACAAGAGAGAGAGGGGTGGGTTGATTGCATTTTCTTGGACTGTAAGAAGGCCTTTGACACAGTTCCACACAAGAGATTAGTGCAAAAACTGGAAAACACGGCAGGGATAAGAGGAAGGCACTACAATGGATCAAGGAATACCTGTCAGGAAGACAGCAGCGAGTCATGGTAAGAGGCGAGGTGTCAGACTGGGTCTAGGGGGTAAGAGACTACAAACCTCACTCAAGGAAAAAGATCTTGGGTGAGTATAACAGCAGGCACATCTCCTGAAGCGCACATCAACCAAATAACTGTTGCAGCATGTGGGCGCCTAGCAAACCTCAGAACAGCATTCCGACATCTTAATAAGGAATCGTTCAGGACCCTGTACACTGTGTACGTTAGGCCCATATTGGAGTATGCGGCACCAGTTTGGAACTCACACCTAGCCAAGCACGTAAAGAAACTAGAGAAAGTGCAAAGGTTTGCAACAAGACTAGTTCCAGAGCTAAGAGGTATGTCCTATGAGGAGAGGTTAAGGGAAATCAACCTGACGACACTGGAGGACAGGAGAGACAGGGAGGATATGATAACGACATACAAAATACTGAGAGAAATTGACAAGGTGAACAAAGACAGGATGTTCCAGAGATGGGACACAGCAACAAGGGGACACAGTTGAAAGTTGAAGACACAGATGAATCACAGGGATGTTAGGAAGTATTTCTTCAGCCACAGAGTAGTCAGGAAGTGGAATAGTTTGGAAAACGATGTAGTGGAGGCAGGATCCATACATAGGTTTAAGCAGAGATATGATAAAGCTCACGGTTCAGGGGGGGTGACCTAGTAGCGACCAGTGAAGAGGTGGGGCCAGGAGCATGGACTCGACCCGTGCAACCTCAACTAGGTGAGTACACACACACACACACACACACACACACACACACACACACACACACACACACACACACACACACACACACACACACACACACCAACAAGGGATCTACCATCAAGTGCTGGATGAAATACACACAACTGAGGAAGAGGTGAAGA